GACGAGGGACTCAATCCCGGGACCGCGTGAGCAGTGAGCCCGCCGGTCACGGTGGTGTGTCACTACACCACCTCCGTCTCCCAAAATTAATAACCCAGATTTCTTCAATCGACGGGATGAAAATTTTCCTCATCCCGTGGTGTACCTTAACTATGATATCAACGTCAGTGGTGCGCTTGAAGCGATACAACCCAGCAGTGAATGCAGTTAGACTATGACAAAGGTTTAGTTGTTGCATCACTGCACATTGGTGGATTGAATGAAACATCTCTCAAACCCGATCTGTAGCACTGACAGCCCGGAAAACCGTTCATTTCGGCTCCAAGAAGAAGGAATTGGCAGGTGTAGGTGAAAACGGGCGCTTCAGTGCGACTTTAACGACGCATTAATTATTGAGAGGCGAAGGAAGCAGCAGGATAGCAACCGAGCTGGCATTGTCCATGACCACTAGCGAATCTTATGCCCGAATCAATTCACTTCATGTTCAAGACGTATTCATTAGCTCCGAGGAGAACGAACTCAAGGCGGACGTTGATATTGTCAACGATAGTGATGTGGCTTGCTCGGCACAAGTAGTATTTCGAGGGTATGTCCGTCGTGGAAAGACCCTGCTCTATGAATTTCTCCACGAACAAGTCTGGATTCTTATACGACCATCAGGTATTTTCTTAAACCAGACATATCACATTATTTCTACCCCTAGTCAAAAGGATCATTTCAGAATCGAGAACCCACCAGGTCGCCGTGGAGGTCTGGCTACCACGCTTCCCACCATCAATCAAGCTCAACAATGACGTTCAAGTGGAGTATTCCGTTAAAGCTACTGTAGATCCATGGTTTGAAAACCATCACGTAGAGAAGATATTCACTGTTGTCCGAAGGCTGATTTTGAAAATGCCACATCTCAGCTGTTATCAGAAAAGAATTATTGTCAACAAATGTGTAAATCATGGAGGATGGTACCATAAGTGAGTTTCAACGCGTCACTTAGTTGATAAATTTTTGAAAAACTGTTTTCAAGCACTAGTCTGCTAGGAGGGAGGCATTTTCTATATGAAATTCTGTAAACTCTTCAGAGGCATATGTTACGATTATTTGGTGCTGAGTCTTGAATGCTAGTATGGTGTTACATAGTGGGAAAATAGCGAAAAAACGAATTGAAACGGTTAAAAACTGTTACTGTTACACTTAATTTCCCGAAGTTGAGCTCCTTTTACCTGCTACGTTTTACCGCCTCCAGCACTGCCCGCGTGATAGACGTCAACACAACGGCTCTCGCCATCCAGCTGCTTGCCTGGCAAGCCCACGTGGGCGCCCAAAGCCTGGAGAGAGAGCGACTCCCTCAGCGAACCAGATCTGGTTACGGCAGGAGCGGTTCGGTTCACTTCAAGGTCTCTCCTATCACGGATTGTCCACAAACTCGTGGTTGCAGGGAGTTCCCCTTTTCATTCATTCATTTAT